CATCTGTGTTCTTATGGAATTGTAGCTTATGTCGCGAAGCTGGCTTTAGTATGATGCGGCATTCCCATTATTCTTTAAACCACAAGGATTTTTTTTTTATGAGACAATAAGAATATGAACTTGTGCTAGTATCGGAGTTATTTCTTGCACGTTTATTTGCCAAAGTTCTTTATCGGCCAGGTGCCAGAGTGTCATTCGCAATTGTATGCTGCGAATGCTGCATTCTACTAAAACCGGCCTTCGGCCTTATCACGAACTCCATGTGAACTAATATTCCCAAAAATTGTAAAGCAAAACAAAACCAATTTTTCCAATTTGTTCTTGTTTTGCCTTTTAAACTATGGAAACGATTTATTCACATGGTGGTGGTGGCGAAAATGGTTATGTATTACACGGCCACTATAAAATATCTACAAGATTTATGTGGATCCATTCGTATATCTTAAACGGCAGTATTTTCTTTTTTGCAGGTAATACATCGTTCATTCCGTAAGTACTACAATGAACAGCAAACGGATAAACTGGTATCTGCATTCATGTCCGACTTCGAGGCGAATTTAAAACAAATGAGTTTGGATGATATAGACCGATTATCGGAGAATTTGATAATTGCATAAGAAATGAAACTTACAAGATAAGCAGGCAATATCTGTACCTAAACTAAACTAAATATTTGCTTGTATATTTCATAAAGATTTATATTTATTTAAAATACATCAAGCATTTGCACATTTTCTGCAGGAGCCATAATCAAAAAAATCAAAAAGTCGCGAAAATCAGCTGTGAAATTTTGAATTTACATACCTGAGAGAAAGACTGACCCATGATAAAAACATAGTAAGGTAAAACCGTTCTCTCAATTCGTCGGCCATGATTTTTTTTTGAAGTTTGCCAACATTTTAAAATCATATAAAATTGAAATTGTTCGAAATTGTTGTTGCTTGAGATTGAAAATGAAAGTGTGTGTGTGAGTCTGTGAGTAAATTCAAAAATTAAATTGTTTGGAAACGTCAAGAATTTTAAAAGTGGCTCTCAGCGGTTCTACCTTACTATCAGGGCTATCACAGAATCCAACGTAGCTTCGATTTTCGTGAAATCTACGAAAGGGCTATCACAGAATCCGAATGGCTACGAACGTAAATTCGAAATTCGTAGAGAGCCTTCATTGAATCCGTTCGTAATGAAGATTCGTACAGATACTCTACGACGAGATTATGCTGTCGGAACAAAATTTAAAATCACTCAATCTTAAAAATAGTGGAAGAAAGCTGCATTATTTTTAATATTAAATATTTATTGTACTCCAAATTTGTTATAGTTTGATATAATTCCGTATATTTGTGTAAACGTAGACGTAAAATACCAATGCTATACATACATACATATGTACATACACGCATTCATCTGCTAGACGCTATTTAATGAATTAAAATTTTGCATTAATCGAGGAAATAATAGTTTAGCAACAATTTATTAGGAAATAAACCTAATTACTTTAATATCATAAAAATTAAATTTAAAAAAAAAAATTCTATTTAAAATAATAAAATCTAAGCTAAAAATAAACTAAAAAAAAAAAATATTTATTAAAAAAATAAAAACTAAATAAAAAAGAAAAAGATCTCCACGGCCCCACGACTCGGACTCGAACTCAGCTCTCTCAATTGGCAGTCTAGTACTTTGCACACTCGGCCATTGCGCCTGATTGGCGAGCGTGAGCAAAATGACATACATAAATGTCTGTTTTTCCTTTGCACTAACTGATTTCGAATCAGCATTCGAAGCTGGCAACGATATTTTCGAGTTCACTCGGATTCAGTGATAGCAATTTTTTCGTATTCGTAGCGGGCATTTGAATTCGTAGATTTTCTACGATGGATTCCGTGATAGCCCTGTATATTTTTATCATGGAGTGACCTGCAGCCAGTTCGAAATCGCCTTTTTCAGAAAACTTCAAAAACGCCCTACTTCAGAATTTGATTGAAGAACGCCCTATTTTAGGATTTAATTAACAAAAATGATTTTTTTTGGTTGAAGGTGTTTCACGTTCTTTCCATACAAAAGTATGTTCGACGATTTTCTTTTATATCAGCTGTTTTCGCTACCGCTCTAATTCTGTTTAAGTAGGCGAAATAGCCGTGCGAACGGTGAACGACAGCATCGCCCAATTCGGCGAAGTTTGCCGTTCGCCGGTATTGTATTTCAAGCATAAAGCGAAGCGCACATAGGCGCGATTCTGTCGTTGCGAATCCGCAAGCCCAAAAATTACAACAATGCTACCCATACATTTTAATGCGCTAGCGCACACTTGCACGATTCCGTCGCTGCGAATTTTTCGAACATTCAATGTTCCTCTCTATTGACGCGTTCGAAACGCGGCTTGCAGCGTTTTGAAGGCGTCAAAGAATAAGAAGAAAGGTGTCACAGCAATAAAGGCAAAGAAAAAAAAACGTGTAATGTACAAAAACTAATAAAAACGTTCGTAATAATAGTATTTTGTACGATTTGGGCACGCCGAGTGCGAAAATACACGAAATAAAGGGAAAATTGAGTGAATTGTACATCGGAAATCGACGCGAAAAAATCGCTCAAGTGTGCGCACGTTTGCGGATTCGAAGTTAACAGCCGAATTCGCAACGTATTCGCTACGATGGAATCGCGCTAATGTGCGCTTCGCTTTACATATTTGGATAAAGAAAAGTTAAGCAAATTCAACATCGATTTGATGCTGATAGAAATCTGGATCAATTTGTGATCAACTCGGTTCGTTTTGTTTCCTAATTAAGTGAGAAAATTTTAATTGACAGCACCGACAAATGAATATATACACAAACAAATTTTCGGTTATGGTTAAAACAATACAAGTTTTTGTATTGAATTTTTGGTTTAAAATTTATTTTTTCCTTTTCAGTAGGGTTTTTGCACATTATCTCCTGCGTGAGAATTGATCGTAATATATACGCATCTAAATAAGAGACTGGAACACGGCTGTTTGTCAAAAGCATACGATTTCGAACTCGCGTAAATGTACATTTGCTAAATGCTATAGCATGAACGCTCTTCGAAAACATATGTTCGAAAGTGCTAAATGTTGCATTTTTAATGCAGCAAAAACGCTGCATAACCAAAATATAATAGCAAATTTCTTTATACCATGGCAGCGCTACTTTTATGGTTTACAGTTATTTTAGCTGTAATTAAAAGTAAGCGTCAAAAATTCTCATTATTTATCGAAGTATTGATTTTTATGGGAAAAGCGCCGCAGGCGAAAATTTTTAATAAAAAATCGCGCGGTGCTTCCAAAACCCTTTTGGCACGTTTTTTGGTAGTGGAAAAAGTGTGAGGGGGGCAACACTGAGATCGATTGGAAAATTCGATGCATCGATGCCAAACATCAATATTTTCGATGCGTCGATATTTTTCCGAATTCCCTAATAGAGATTTAGCAACATGGTGTTCCTGCGTGGATGGAGATATGCAGCTTTTATTTCTTGTATTATCGGCGGAATTGGTATAGCACTTTACCCGATCGTCGTTGAGCCAATGATGAATGTGGAAAGGTATAAGGATCTGCAAAAACGTACCCGCGCAGGAATTAAACAAGAAGACATTCAGCCCGGCAACATGAAAGTGTGGTCTGATCCGTTTGGGCGTAAATAAAACACATGATGGGTACTGTTTATGAATTTGTACAACGATTTTGGGTTGCTGTGCCCAAACGCGTGAATCGAATCTAAAAACTTGTACACACACTTGTAGACAACAGTTCACGCTTTATTACAAAAATTTAATTTACTAAATCTGTGCACTAATTTAACAATAATGTCGGTTGGAATTATGGTATCTGTTGCAAATTTGTATATACATTTTTATATATATATTGGTTGTAAAACACCAAAATAGACATCACTGTTACCTCATCCTTTCCCAAGGTTACATCACTGGGGCGGTAGCGCGGCCGAAGGCCGCCTACGCAGAAGGTGTTCAGCCCCCCTTCTTCGGACGCAAGTTTAACTTTGTTTTTTCCTTGCAAAAACGCTAAAATTCCCCTATTTTCAAACAGCTCCCCAGAGGTCTGTGGGAGGGGTTGGGAGGGGAGGGGTGACTTTTCATAAAGCGGCGTCAATCCTCTTTCGTTTAGGGGGGATTTGTTACGTTAATTTTTTTTTAACTAAAAGTATATTCAGTAATGACTGGAGTTATTGCTCGTTTTTGCGGCAGTTTCGGAAGAGGCATACTATTTCATTTCCATACAAACTTTTGCACCAAGTTGTGGATTGCAAACTGTGTGAAGTACTGGAGCAACTCCTGCTTTGTTATTTCTTTTTGAATTCGCCTAGAAAATAAATAAAATCGGTAATTATCAAAAAAATAAACAAATTGCAAAAATATTTACTTTTCCTGTTGTTCAGCATCCATCTTTTGCATTTATTTTATTTACGAAACAGCTGTTATAGCTGAAATACAATGCCGGCGAACGGCGAACTCACCACAGCGAAATTCGCGCTGTCAAAATTAGAACACCCGCAAGCGTAAGTTAAAAAATGGATCTTTTTAGAAAACCTTGCTGATATGTGCATTGAAATCTCGACTTTATTATGTAATAAAATGTAACATGAAAACGGCCTTTTTAGTTGAGAGAACTGATTTGAAGAGTGTGGTTATAAAATGTGGCGTGGTGGCCAAGGTCATGGATAATATCGAACCGAATGCATTTTTACTTGCACTCATACATATGACAAAAACGAAATTGCTGTTAATCATTGGTGTTAATTTTTCTAGAATAAGCCCCAATCTATTTAATTATGATATGTATGTATGTATGTTGGTTTACATCCGCAGGTCGGCGATAAGCTTCCTTCTGTAGATCTCTTTGAAGATTCCCCGGCAAATAAGATCAATACTGCTGATTTGACTTCCAATAAGAAAGTAATAATTTTTGCAGTTCCAGGTGCGTTTACACCTGGATGCTCCAAGGTACGTATACAGCTGCATAAGACTATTTTACTAGTTAAAGCAATTTTTGAATTTTTGTAGACCCATTTGCCTGGATTTGTATCGAATGCCGATTCGTTAAAATCTGAACAAAACATCAATGAAATTGTTTGCGTTTCAGTAAATGATCCATTTGTTATGTCTGCCTGGGGTAAAGAGCACAACACGTCCGGTAAAGTTCGTATGCTGGCAGATCCCGCAGCTACATTTGTAAAGGCTTTGGATTTAACTATTGATTTACCGCCACTGGGCGGCTTGCGTTCGAAACGATTTTCGATGGTTGTGGAAAATGGTGAGGTGAAGGAATTGAACGTTGAACCCGATGGCACTGGTTTGAGCTGTTCGTTGGCCAACAACATTGGAAAAAAATAAAGTGATTACGACTGCCATGTGAAATTATCTGTAGCTTTTAGGGACTACTGATGCATATGTACGTATGTACATTTGTATAAAAAGTAGAAAGCATCTAATGAGAAATTTATGCAAATATAACAATAAAAAAAAAGAAGAGATACTAAACAAGAGATTGGTGTTGATGTTTCCTTATTTGCGGGCGGGTTTTAGCTTGGATATATATGACGACGAAAATGTTTACTCCATATGTATTTGACAAATATATATATAATAATAAGGTCTACAAAATACTTAAAGGTGAAGCTTGACAGCAAACTCACATTCTGGGAACACATCCATGGTGTATGTGAAAAAGCTGCGCAGAGCACGGTGGCTCTAAGCCGGCTGATGGCGAACGTGGGCGACCCGAAGCCATGCCGCAGGAAGCTTCTGATGACAGCAGTCCAGTCGGTGCTCCTGTACGGGGCAGAAATATGGGCCGACGCATTGAATGTCAAAAAATACCGGATTCAAATGTCTTCGGTCCAGCGCAGAGGGGCACTATGCATTGCTTCTGCATACCGTACATTGTCCGCGGACGCGGTTCTAGTTATTTCTGGCGTCATGCCAATTGAGCTACTTGCTTACGAGCGAAAAGAGATCTACAATCTCAGTGCCGAGATAGGTCGAGCAGCTGCTGCGGCAAGGGCGCGCGAGCATCTAATCCAGCAGTGCCAACAAAACTGGAACGCGAGCACCAAGGGTCGATGGACGCACGCCCTGATAGCCTATCTTCAAACATGGTTGAACAGACCGCATGGGGAAGTGGATTTCTACCTGACGCAATTCCTCACCGTCCATGGTTACTTCCGAGAATATCTTCATAGAATGGGAAGGGTGGACTCACCGTTCTGTCACTACTGTGGAAACGTCGAAGATAACGTGTACCATACATTCTTCACCTGCGAACACTTCTTGAATGCGCGCAGAATGTTGGAAGAAAGATACGGAGACATAACTCCGAACAACATAATTGGGGTAATGATCTCCAGTGCCGTCAAGTGGGAAGCGGTTTCGAGATACAAGAAATTCGTACTCCGTTGCAAACGAGAGGACGGATGTGTACTGAGGACAACCGAATGAAACGCCCCTACAAAAGAGCAGCCCCGAGGCTCTAGCAGCGGGCTCCTGCATCTGAAGACTTTCATCACTTACATAACCTCACCTTTTCTGCATGCCAATTGCGGCCATGCATTTTGCGGTAGTAGAAAAGGGGGGAAAAGATTAGGATTATTTTTACTACTTTTTGGGTACTATTTCCAATACATAAATATATCAGTGGACTCCACACCAGTTAAATAAAGCTTGCATCAATAAAATATTTATTCTGTAAACCAGTGTAATTACAGTTTCATTTATTCGCTCAAAAGAAATTATTATTACTTAATTTGTATTTTTTCGATCAAATATATTGATTTTAATAATTATTATTCATTTATATTTTTCTACCTTAAAATTATTATTTGCAAAACTTAAAGGCCACATGGTCGTACCACACACATATGAAAAATATATATATATAAACTTTAAAGGGAATTTTATTACGAACTTTATTTTCGTTAACATTTTAAAATTACATTTCGGAATTCAGTTATCTTATAAAATAGTTATGCGTTTAAATTGTTAGAGTTAAATTGTTAAAGTTAAACACTTCAAAAATGATCTACAGTATTCATGATCGAACTAGAATATTACATTTTCTTCAAGTAACAAATAACACAGTGTATTGAGTACAAAAGAGTGTCTTGGAAACATGTACAAGAAGGTGGGACTAAGTTCAACATTTGACATTAATTATCCTTCATTTTGTTTCATATATAACTAAAGATATGCAGATTCTTGCGCGGGCGGTGGGAGTTTGGGTTTTAGTGGGTAGCCCAACACGCTTCGGTGGGAGTCCCACACTCGGGGAAGGTAGTATAGAGACTAGAGCCCCCGGCCAGTGCATAAAGCATTTCCCTCTCCTACGAACAAAAAAAAAAATAATAATAATAATAATAAATTGGCGCTTACACATATGTTAGTGTTTGGCCGAGCTTCTTCTCCGATTTGTGGCGTGCGCCTTGATGTTGTCACACAAAGTGGAGGGACCTACAGTTTTACGCCGACTCTGAACGGCGATTGTATTTTTATGAGAAGCTATTTTTCATGGCAGAAATACACTCGGAGGTTTGCCATTGCCTGCCGAGGGACGACCGCTGGTAAGAAAAAACCTTTTTCTATATTTTTTGCGATGTTGCTTTGACCAGGACTTGAACCCGGGTGCTGATGAATGAAAGCGCGCACTGCTTACCACTACACCACAGCGGCCGAAAATACTTTATATGAAAAAAAATGCAAAACACCTTCAACAAAACAAATTCTCAAAAATTAATGCGATTTTTAACTAACTCCGAACTTGCATTGCTTTTACTAGAATTCAAAAGACTGCAACATTCTAAGAAATCTGATTAAAAAGTTTAAAATTTCAAGCATTAAATTTTGGTAAAAAACGACTGCACAGCTTTTGAAAAATTGTGCCTGAATCTTTAACATCGATTTCCTAACACCTGTCGATAGTAACATACGACAATCTTTTACCCAGGCGACGATATGTACTTCTGTTAGTGCGTGCGATTATTTTCGCCTACATACCAAGTGTTTTTTCGAAGAAGACGTCCTTTCAATCACATTTTGACTCGCACATCACCGATACAGTTTTGGAGTCGCTATCTTCGTACAACTCGCTCTCTTTTTTAGCGTCCTCATACATATTAATCGCGTGCTCTTCTTCTGGGGTTATTTCTGGAAGCTCGTTTTTGATGGCAATTGTTGTATCCACTTGATCGCTGTTTAGTAAAATAACGTGGCCGTCTTTTTTCATTTCTTGCTGTTGTCGCCAAGCCAAAAGATGCGAACGAAATATAGCACGGGGTCCAATATTTGGAATTAGTTCACAGATGTCGTCATCCGTCAAATAACGGAATGCCACAGTGCAAACCTTTTGTCCTGCGGGTTTTATCATAAATAAAGTTCGAATTTTGTATTAAATAATCGTCATATTCTAAAGCATTACCTTTAAATTTCTTGCAGAGGTTTTGCAGATTCCATGAGGCCAGCAAGCTGAGTGCCTCGCACAAAGCGGTTTTCGCTAGAAACGATAAAAGAGTTAATCGAAAAGTACATATTTTTTCCACTATGGTAAGTTTAGTTAAAATTTTCAGATAACTGAAGACATTCCAAAATGGGTAAGAAAATATCGAAAAGCGGCAAAGGAGATCTTTAGTCACGTACAAGTGCTCCTAAAGGGGATAAAGAGAAGAAAGTTGAAGCACCGCATGTCTCCAATCGTCCGTTAATTCTTTGAATTGGATAACAGCGAAAACTTCTTGAATTGTGGTATCCGCCTTGGTTAAATGCAATAATGAAGCAAGTGCACCTGACAAAAAAAAAAGAAACGAGATGCCCGAAGAATCCAAAGTTAAGAATAATTGGGGTAAGTTGCTGCTAAGTTTAGGTAACATCCACTGCAATAATACTTACTTAAAATTTTACTGCATTCGCCGCCTTGGTGTGCAGTGGTTGACAGTCGACAGCAAATGCAGTAGTGCTCGATGATTTTATTGCAAAAGTTTTGATTCACCATTTTTCGCATTTGACAGTATTTGAAAGCTCTGAGGAAGTGAAGTGAATTACATATAGCTAAATTAGCAAATTCTTTGATTGTCCTTTCAAAACCATTTATGCAACCCTCTAGAATGTAGGTCGGACCTAAATCGATTCTGGGTCTTGCCGATTTGAAGCGACTGGCTTTGATTGAACTTGTTTTCGAAGTTCTGCGAGTTCCAAACTTAACTGGAGTACCTAATCTATTCCCACAGGCGCGTGCGCCCTACTAGGCTGTTTCATTTTTAGGCGATATATACTTTGTGCTACCTGAAAATCTGATACTTATTAGAAAATAATACTAAAAAAACGCCGTATAAAAAAAATGTTAAAGCCATTACAGGCTTAGCTCTTTCAAAAATTCGATTTCCATATAAATAACACAGGATTTTTTTTTCGGTTTCAATAAGGTTTTTCCGTATTAAAATTTGATTGGAAAAAAACAAATGTACAGCTTTTGTAGCATGATTCAATAATGAGAGGTTTTGTAAGAAAAACTTTCANCCCCTTTTTCCCCTGCTTCCATAAACCATCCCTGTGGGTGGGAGTGCCAAATTTTAGAAAAAAGCTACTTACAAAACCTTTAATAATTGAATCATGCTTTTGTAGGGCATGAAATTTACTACAAAAAAGTTGTCCGACGAACAGTTTATGAGCTATATAGCTGGAAAGATAAATTTTAATAATAATTTACATCAAATGTCTCTTAAGACGATATTAATTATTCTTACATTAGAAATTAACTTATAATTTAAATTTTTAATACCGAAATATCGAATTGAAACAGAAAAAAAATTACCCCTGTTATTTACTACTCTACCCACCTTTAGTTCATACACTTCACACTTTTAGTTCATACAATTTTGAAGCAAAAATATTTCAAAGTTTATGAACTAAGGGTGGGAAATGGAATTTTTGAAAGAGCCTAAGCCTGTAATGGACTTAAAATTTTCTTCATACGGCATAGTATGAAGCATCAGGTTGCCCAGAGAAAAAATATCGCCTAAAAATGAAAAAACCCGAAAGTAAAATTAAAAACCGAATTTTAGTGCTCTCGCGCCCTAGGATTGTCATATAGAAAAAAACTACCCCTGTCTTTTCATTTCGAAATCAAACCGGTCAAAAATGTATTTTATATGGAGAAAAGAATTTTTTGTAAAAATAAAAATAATATTAAAAAATGGTTAAATAAACAATCTTCAAAATTTGGATAGCTTTAAAAAATGTTTTGGAAAAACAAATTCTATTACGATATCTATTAAGTAAATTTCTTACTCCAAAATTTAGGTGGCAACCCTATTCCGAAATACAGTGGAATTAATGGTATATATCTTGAGCGTATATGTACTGTGTATACATAAAAAAATGCCGATTGAAATTACATGTTGATTAACATTATGTATATAGAGAAAGCATTGCTTAGGAACCTCTCTTGGTACCCATGAATAGTAATATTTTACCTTTTTTTCTGAAAAAAAAAATTGCTTTGGTACCCATATTGTGATGTTTTAATTAATTTGTAACTAATTTCGAATAGGCGGCAACCTTATACGAGTCTTCTGGGAGTTAGTGCCTATTCATATAACCTTAAAATCCAAAACATTATCTGTGTACAAAATTTCATCAAAATCGTTAGAGCCGTTTCCGAGAACCCTATCGATATACATACATATATATATATATATCGTCGTTTAAAGTACAAAACCGCGTATCGTCATTCTGCAAAACCGCGTAACTGACATTGGCTGATTTGCTCACACAAGCTCTTGGCTCAATCCTTATCCATTCGTCCTGAAATATACTAGCCATGCTAGTAGCGATTGCTTTATAAAAAACAGAACCATTTTGAAAAATGAATGCTTTTACACTCTAGAAAACAATTTCTAAAACTTCACATACGCGGTTTTGCACTTTAAACGACGATATATACATACATATATATCGTCGCCTGGGTAAAAGATTGTCGCATGTTAATTTCGGCAGGTTGTGGAAAATCGCGATTGAAGTTTGGAATGCAATTTCTCAAAAACGCGGAGATAGATTTTCTCCAAAGTCTCTGAAAATGTAACAAGTTCTCAAGATTCTTAAATTATCTGATTTTTAATGTCTATTGTTAATTAGTTTTAAGTTTATGACGGATTTTCTTGTGTAAAATTTTGTCGTAAGCGCCATTTGTCCACAATTTGGCAGCCACTTTGTATGAAATACGACAAAATGTGATCAAAATTTCTACTAAATTATCGTAACTTTTCACTCAGTATCTCGGAAACTAAAGGAGATATACAAAAATGGAGAACACCATTTCTAAAATATTGATTAGTTTAATATGACTGCATCACTAACTAAATTTTTACTAAATTATCGAAAAAATTGTAGTCAATATCTCGGAAACTAGAGGAGATATCTAAAAACTGATAACACCAATCGAAAGACCTTATTTAAAAATATATAACTGGATCNTGTTTGGCCGAGCTCTCACCCCGATTTGTGGCGCGCGCCTTGATGTAGTCAAATCAATGGGAGGGACTTACAGTTTTACGTCGACACCGAACGGCGATTATATTTTTATAAGAAGTCGTTTGTCATGGCAGAAATACACCACCATCATTCCCACGACAGCCGGTTCTACGTACCGGAATGATTCGGGTTCCACCCGACGAAGGGCTGTTGTTTCGGCGATCTAACCCCGTTTAGGTCGGCGAAATCCATCGAACGTTGTTCTACAATGGGGCTACATCTGCTCCGTATTCTTCTGCTCAGGGCTGGCATAGAGTCAAACCCAAGGCCAGACATATACACCTGCTGCGTATGCTAGAGGCGATTGCTTGAAATCTCCACCTCGGTCAGATGCAACGCCTTTGACGGGTTGAGTCTTATCCGCACCTACTCGGGCCTACGTACGCACCAGCAATAGACCAAATAGGACCGCCTCCACGGCAAACCGCCACAACCCGACATGACACAACAATAGACACACATACGAACACTACAGCACCCGGAAACTCCTAGTCCCTCCGACAATCTGTTCGGTTTATCAGTCCCGAATATACCGTAACGTGACATAAGTCAAGTGCAACTATTTTAGGGCATGTTCCGGACTACGCAACACCAGGGATTGGACGAGTAACTAAGGGGGCCCCTGTGTGCTGCTGTAACGGACTTCAGAGCAAGATCGAAGAGATCACCGTCTTCATGGGCCGGCATGGAATATTAATAGCTGTGGTCCAAGGGACGAAGATACACAGCAATTCAACTCTGTTGAATCAAGGAGCATAACACACAATGCTTTGCAAGCAGTTTCTCGTAGGGAGCCGCAGACGTGGTCTCGTAAATAGACAGCGGATTGCAAAAGAGCCCTTGCCAAGGCACGTCAGGAGGCATCTGTACGAACTGACGGAGGCTCACCAAACAATCGCTTGACCCAACTGCTTACAGGCAGGCCCTGAACGGCATTCACAGGTCGAGTTATGTATATAGACTCTCGACTTGTGAATGCCGTCTGTCTGCCGGCAACGCCACTTTTCGCAAACAGCTGTTTACCGGGTTATGATGTTTTTAGATTCAAAATATGGACAAAATACGTGGATTTGTTCAAATATAAAATAAGTTCAAAGAGAGGAGATTCAAGTACTTTGAACCCAATTTAAATATAACATAGATATTGCCTGATATCAACGGCTTTTGCAAATTAAAAAAAATGCCAAAAAAGTCACAACCCAACTGTTTAGTTTCTCGCTAGTGCGCTGCCACTTTTTAAAAACACTTCACTTCACGAATTCGCGAATTATGCATAAACGGGACAATTTTTGAATCAATGAAATGAAGAATTCATGAATTCTGTCGCATAAATAGAGTAGTTATTACTAGAATTTGATGGGTTACCTAATTACTTAGTTTTTTTTTTTATTGTGAATAAAGTTTGAAATGTGGATTTTCATATATGTTGCTGAAATATTATGGATATAATTAACTAGACTTAAATACAAATTAATAAATCAGCCGTATATTTTGAAAGTGGCATAAGTCACTTTGTACCTCTTGCGCTTAAATGACCGGATACTTGTATCTGAACGCGCCGGTTATTCATTCAACTTCATCAACCAAAGGCAGACGGTTTTGTCGTTATTTTATGACAAAAGAACGATTTACAGATGCATTCAGTTACAAGTAGTCGGTAATTTAAGCACAAGTGGTACGAAGTGACTTATGCCACTTTCAAAATAAACGACTGAATATTAAACAATCAAAACTGGCCAAAATGTGGTGTCCCTATTTTTTCACATGACTATAGGTTTGTTCGTCGAGCAAAAAATTTGTACGAATTTGTACGAATTATCACGATTTTTGCCCAAATCGCGTTCGTGCAGACCAAAAAATTATCCAACACTCAAAAATTGTGAGAGCAAAGTGACAGTTCTCTTGGAGAAGTTGCAAATTCTTGCTGGAAAAAATTTTGCCAGCAAGAATTTGCAAACACGAAAAACATGTGGTTGTGGCGCATGGTTGCATTTTTGTCTACAATAATTTGAATAAATTAGTTCGTTAAATTTAAAAATTTATAAACACGAGCGATTTTTTTATGAAAAAAGGAAGTAAATAATTGTTGATATAATTAATTTAGTTAATTCCAATGATTTGAACTTAATTCGGCTGAAAAAAATGGTATTCGCAATCGGAATGCAATTGCAACCAGAGTCGATTTAAGAAACCCGACAGCTAGTACGATGAAGAAATTGAAATGTATGTCAAAGAAAGTCAGAACAACAAGAAATATACATGTATATCCTGTTTTTGGCCATCCGAACGAATTTTAAAAATTCTATAAAAATTTTTTATGTTTGAAATGCAACCGTGGACGCCAGCTGGCAGGGAAACTAGCAAATTCCTGCAAATTTGCGTTCGTGCAGAAATTTGCAAGTTTCTCAACATGAGAGAGAATTTGAGAGAATTTTTTTCTTACTCTCTGATATTTTGAATGTTGGATAATTCTTGCTGGATTTTCGACGAACAAACCTTATATCAAAGATCTGATTTCTTTTTCTAATCGATTCATTAAAGTATTCGACTTACTTGTAGATTTTTTATTCTTAATCGCAGAAGTATTAATGTTTTGCCTAAATGAATAAGAACATATTTTGTAAACTTATGTTTAAATCGTTATTATAGTTATTATTATTTAATACTTACCGACCCATATCTGCAAGTATATCTTCATTCAACGTACTTTTGCGTAATGCATACCGAGGTTGCATTGGGTTTACGGTTAGATCTTGTGTACGATTTTTTTCAGATTCCTTACAATTTTCACTAAAATTAAGGTTAATAAAGTAAAAATATTTAATTCCACTATATATGGCATACATCGAGTATACCAACCGTTTAGCTTTGGAAAAACCAAAAATGCAGATCGATAGTTTCGCCCCT